GGTTTGGGTTATGGGTAGGGGAATTCGGGTAGGGGGCTGGGTAGTATTGGGGAGTTTGGGCAGGGGGGTAGTACGGGTATGGGTTGGGGGTTTGGGCCATGTTGGCCTGGGCCGGGTAGGGTGGATAGGTGGGGTAGGGGCGTGGGCCGAGTAGGCCGGGTGTAGGGTTAGGGAACTGCCAGGGTTGCGGACCAATGGGTTGTCGCTGATTCGAGCCGCCACGGCCACGGCCACGTCCCCGTCCGCGGTTACCACTGTTGAAGGGTCGAGATTGACTGCCATAGCCGCGCCCAGGACCCCCTGCCTGCCGCTGCTGTCCGCCCGCCGCTGGAGACCCGCCGCCACTGCCAGTGCTGAGGAGTGCCGTCGATGAGCCGGCGCCATGGGTGGTGTCGGTTTGTTGTTGTTCGACGAGCAATAGGGCCGAACGGACCTCCAAAAAAGTCGGAAAAGGAGTCTGATACTGAAGAAAAGTGACCTTGCCTCGTATGTCTTGCGGCAACCCCTGAAGAACCTGTAAAACCAAGGCATGTTCGGTCACCGGAGCATCCACATCATCGAGATAGTCGGCAAGATTTTTGAGGAGATGACAATATTCATTGATCATCCGGTTGCCCTTGACGGTTGTGCGAAAACGATGCTCCAATTGCATCGCCCGAGCATGTTCGTTGTCATGAAATAATTTGTAGATCGCTGTCTAGAGAGAATGAGCGGAGGGGCGGTTGGCGAGAACAAGATCTGAAACCCATGGGTGGTCCGGAGGGTGTGCAAAGTGGCCAACCGCACAGGACCCCTTAAAATTTAGGGCACCATATTTTTAAATTTCTTAATAATTTTAAAGCAAAAGTATTCTAAAAATATAAAATAGGGCACAAAATATAAATTTTGGACCGGACCAATTTTATTTTTTACATGAAACCTCGTCAGTGACAGTGGAGAGAATCCACCCTTGAAGGAGGGCATCGAACTGGAGCCATTCAACGTCGTCGGAGGATGCGGCAATATTGGTGCCGTCGAGAAATCCCATGAGATTGAAGCAAAGAGCAAGTAGACGAAAAAGTTTACTCCACTTTTTGTAGTTTGGTTCGGATATGCTGAGTTGAATGGGGATGTGTAATTTGATGTTGGAGACAGTGGTGAAAGCAAGATGGGGGGTTTTGGGGGAAGATGTATTGTCAGAGGAGATAGACGAAACCTCGGCCATGGTGGTGCCGGGAAGAAATCACGGCTGAGAGAGGGAGAGTCGAAGGGAGAGACGGCAGAGAGGGAGCCGGCAGAGAGAGGGCCGAAGGTTTGAGAAGGGAGCCGAGAATTTTTAATGCTCCGATACCATGAAAGATTTGTTATTTCCGATAGTTTACAATGTGATATTACAAGGGAATATATACTAGGAGAATCCTAGGTATATTAGGAAAATACAATACAAGGAAACCTAGGCATGTATGGTAACTAGAATATACACAATATAATAATATGTACATAATATATTAAATATAGAAAGACTATATTTAACAGTATCTCATTTGAACCTTCATCACACTAATGTCTGGGAAATATAAAGGGGTCAGAATCATGGCAGGTAGTGGAGTGAGTGTAGGAGAGCAGTGTAATTCACTGTCATTCCTGGGATATAAAGATTTGAGGTTCCCTTCGAAGACCAGAGGAGATCAACTTAAAAAAATATTTCCCAGATTATTGTTTGTGATAGTACTGAGATGGCAATGCTTGGTCAACCTAATGAGACTGTTGTTAGTACCGGTATCGGTTCTAACAAGGTAAAGGAAGGAAAGCTCAGTTTACAAATGGCTCCATCTGGGTTCAAGCATCAAAGAAACTCAAAAAAGTGGCAGATGTTATCAATGCTTGACGCTAAGAACACTTCACACCAATTACCTGTTGGTGAGCCCCTTGATAAGTTGCAAATGACTTTGCTTCATTTTGAGAGCAAATTCATTAAGTTTTAGTAAAGGCAGCAATTTATGGCTAAGTGCCTTTATTGTGTCTCTAGTTCAGTAGTAGTTTGTACACATTTATCAAATCTTACATGCTGCTTTGAATTTGCCAGACCAAAAATTTGACATCAGGAGATCAAAGAAGCGCAAACTTGACTCTTTTGATTTCCTGCCATGGTACAAAGTAGTGACACAAGCTTCACTGAAATTTCCGAATTTCAGGTCTGATGTACTTGACGTTTTTCCTAACATATCATTATTCGTTTGCCCACTCCCAAATATGGGGTCTCATCAGATTTCTAAACAGAACACTTTACTAGTTTTTCATGAAAACAAACTTTTATTTGATTTGGATGTTATTACCTTCATTTCACCATTTTTTGGCTTTGGGGTGTGATGGAATAAATCAAAATGGATCTCTAAACTATCTGCGCTTCTCTAATTAATGAAGTAGCAGTTAGTCAAGCAATGCAACTTTCGATGTTGAGCCGGGGGTCTCTTTGGAAACAGCCTCTCTACTTTCGAGTAGGGGCAAGGTCTGCGTACACACACCCTCCCCAGACCCTACTCTTGTGGGATTTAACTGGGTTGTTGTTGTTGTTGTTGTTATTACCTTCATGGTTTCATTCATTTATTTGAGATGGTTTTGGCAATTTTGAACTGGATCTTAACTTCCTTTCACTGTGTAAATGTTTTCAGCATGATTGAATTGGAATGGTGTCTAGCTTCAAATAGAAGAAGCCAAAGGGTAGGCGATTGCTATTGCAACTCAACCCTTGCAACCCTTTCTAACACAACCCTTTCTAACTACCTTGCTTTTGTTAACAGGTGGAAAATGAGGCTGAAGTGCTTCAAGATTCGGCTCTGATCCATCGACCAAAGAGAAGGCTTACCAAGACAACACAGCTAATGCAACAGCTTTTTCCTCCCTCGCCGACTGTTATTATATCAGCAGATGCCTTCTCAAATTGTGATAGTGTGGTGTATTTTGTTGCTAGGTTAGCTCTAGGTGATGCTTGCAACATGACTTGTGATTTTCACATGCAATCTACTGCTGGCGATATGTAAGAAGAATCTCTCTGTGATCCATAGTTTGTAGTTTTCCCCATTTCGTCTTGAAAAACTTCAATTTTCAGGATTGATGCCATTATAACTTTTTTGAATGAAAGTAAAATAAACACGCATTGGGAGGGGAAAATTTTTTTAGACGTGAAATTAGTAGAGTTTCATATGCTATCTTTTGTTTTCGAATGTGCAGGCTATACGGTAAGGTAGAGGCCCCTGGCATAAGTGGTGGAAAAGATTTACTAAACACCATGGAAACTTTCATATGTAGAGCAGAAAGGCTTCATGCAGATATCATCAGGTGGGGACCCTTGTTACCCAAGACAAGTTTCCTTGTTTTGTAACCTTTCGTGTTGCTTAATGCATAGGTAAATAACGGAACTATAGTTGCTTAAACAAATATTTGGCTACTTGAGTTTCATTTTTCGACCGTATCTTACCTAAGCAGTGAATTACGGAGTAATATGGATTTTTTTATCCTACTTTTGGAGGGGCAATGTATAGCTTAGCATAATGCAGAATGAAACAACTAATTCTATGTGGCATTATCGAGAAGTTTTCCTTTATTCTTGGTAATGTTTTTCTTTTGAATTTTTTTTGTTGAATCATCCTTTAATTTTTACGGCAGACAGGAAGAACAAGCCTCTTTTCTGGACTTGAAGGTTGAATCACAGAATATGGAGAAACTCGCCACCATCAATCGTTTGGCAAGATTCCATAGCCAGGGAAATCCTGCTGCAGTTGATACATCTAAAGTCACTCCTGTTGTGCTAAAACCAGCACCACAGAGATCTGTTGTGGCATTTCCTATGCCCAAAACCGTGCCACGAGGAGTTAAGTGTCTCTCTCTATGATCATTTTGCTGGAAAAGCTAATTAACACTGATGATGTGCAGGAGAAAATAACCTTCAAGATAATTTTGCTGTAATTAAGTACTCCGGGCATGTCGGGCTTGAGATAGTTCTAGTAGTTAGGAAATAAAAACTCAGTTGTCTTTTGAAGAAGCAGTTAGGACTTAGGATGTCCATATGAAACCCTAGTGTATGCCATACATGATCATGTATGGCTATTAGTATTAACATGCAACTAAAAGTTTTGTTAATGATGCTGGCGCTTGCTTTATTATGTAGTCGTCGGTAGATGCTGTTCATGTTCTCTATTCTAATCTTACTAAGGAAGGTTTTCAGCTAATGCAGTTTAACTCCAACAATCTAGAATTTTTCACTAGCATTCAATGCTATAACGCCTATTAGCTCATATGAAAATGACTTTTTGAAATCTCTTCATAAAAACATAAACATTGTACGGAGTACTACTTAAGCTAAAAGCCATGGAGATTGTCCTGGGAAAGGTTTTATACTCTCGGCTCAAGCTGCACGTGAAAAAAAAGATGACAAGAGATACATGAAGCAAAGAAAACACAGATAAAACACACAGGCACAAAACAAAATAAATTTACTTGAAAAAACGTAAAGCAATCATAGAGCACCAAGCATATAAGGCATACAAAGGAACAACGATGCGTATAGGGAGCTACTTCCTAGGCCAAGGCGCTTACTTATTCACTAGTTTTTACCCAGTGCTTCGCACGGGCTCGCATACTTTTATATAAATATATCTACAAAATTGTTACTCTGTATTATATCTCCCTCCGTCCCATTTTAAATTGCATGTTTGCCTTTTTTCTCCGTCCCATAATTTCGAAAAATCAACTCTATTTTTTATTTTCCTTAAATATGCCCAAAAGTCAAAATGGGCGATTTAAAACGGGACGGAGAGTGTACAAAATAAAACTCATATTAAATAAATAAGTGAATTACTATTAAAATTGTTCAATCACAATGTCTATTGATGAAATACATAGATATTATTCACGCATGTACATATGAAGGATAATACATTATTTTTTCATAACTAGACATTTCGTTTTTGCAGACATTTCGTTTTTAGAGATATCGTGGTATGCGAGGGAAAGATGTATTTATTTATTTCCCTCTTATTGTTTGACACTTTGACTAATTAAACTAGCATTTCACCCGTGCGATGCACGAGAATATATTAAATAATTAAATCTAAAATTCTTTGTTATGAATCTATTAAATTTCAATTACTTTTCTCAAATTTTAAATTGAGTACTATCTAAAAATATAAATTTATATATAAACAATGTATGATACCATTCAATAGAAAAAATGTCTAAATATGTAAATACATACAGAGTATCTTTTATTATAAATTTAAAGAACAATGCTCACAATAAAGAATATTTTTTTTGAGAATTCTTTCATTTCTATAATCAATTTTGGAGAATTCTTTCAATTCCTAATGTTGGATTAAGGAATCCAAGGGTAGGGAAGAAGGAGAAGAGTGTGAAGAAGAAGATGAATAGTGTTGTGTATTGAGCCTCCCCTTTTTTTCCTTTTTCCCCTCTTCCAAGAAGAGGGTATAAATAAGGGGAATCAGGGCTAGGGTTTCGGTCTAATGGACCGGCCCAACAGACTGGGCCGCCCTAAAAATAAATAATCAACATATAACTAACGGGTCGATCCAACAGACTGGACCGACCCAACTAATATTATACAAAGACCGGATACCCCCTGTCCAGGGTATCCATCATGAGTCCCCCACTTCCCGAGCCGAGAGGAACTCGAGGTGAAGTGGAAGTAGAACGATAATCCAGCACAGAAGATCCGGTCTTGAAGTGCACCGTCTTCCTGGCTCTCTAGAATGCACCGCCAACTCGCTGTCTTGAGCACGGTGAAGTAAGGTAAACAATGCCACCAGTCTGAAAATGTGATGCAACCTCGTTGTAAAGAAATTGCACCAATCAGTACCAAGTGTGCTGCCGACTCGCTGTCCAGAGTGGCAAAGTGAAAGGGTCTGCACCAATGAATATGAGGTGCATCGCCGACTCGTTGTCCGGAGCGGCAAAGTAAAAGAAATCGTAGCACTGAGCACAATGTGCGCTGCCGAATCGCTGTCCGGAGTGGCAGGGTGACAAAAACTGTAGCAATGAGCATGAAAGGCGATGCCAACTCGCTTTCTGGAGTGGCAAAGTGGAAGAAACTGCACCCATGAATATGAGGTGCACCGCCGACTCGTTGTCCGAAGCGGCAAAATGGAAAAATCTGCACCAATCTGCTCATTGCCTTGAAACCATCTGCTAAAGGGCATCGTCCTTGCTATCCAGAGCACAACTATCACCATATAAGTGGGTGAAGAAATTGTCATCTGTAGTCCATTTGTTGTCTCCAAGGATCCTCTCACAACCCCGTGAATGTGTGGTTCACTCCATGGGGGATGCCTCGTTAAAAACTTGCCGAGGAAAAAACCCATGAGGATGGGAAAAAATCCTCGGTCAAGAAAAGAGTACATCTCGTTCCACAAAGTGAATCAAGAAAAACATTGAAGAAGGGTGTGAGGTCTTCGAGTGAAAGAACTGTGTGATCTCGGAGGAGGCGATCTTCAAGTCCCCCAGACTCGTTGACCGGAGTCGAGGGCTGTTCGCCATATTACCAAAGAGTGCATGCCGGCACGAACTGCTGCGGTGCCATGTTAGATCAAGATGTTGATCTGCCAAACTTTCACGGTGTGCGGTGTAACGATCACGAGCCGAGTACTCGGAGTCCCCCACTCCCTAAGCCGAGGAAGAATTCCGAGGTGAAAGGGAGTAGTACCCATACTCGGCTCTGGTGATCGTCTTTGGTCCCCTCGCTCTGTGGCGACTTCCCTTCATATAATGATTTACCTGAAAAAATCTCAAACAAATGCAAATAATGTGATGGGTTTGGCCGATCAGCCTAGCCTCCCATTTTTAGAGTAATTAAGACTGTGCCCTAGAAAGTGGGCTAGGGGGGTGTGCCTTAGGACGGCATCGAAGAGTGCCTTAGGAAGAGGGGTTTGGAAGCCTCGTGAGACGAGGGCTTATATGCCTGCGAGGTGACCGTGGCCGACCTCGGGAAAAGAGTCAAGTGCCTCGTGAGGTGGATGGGACCAACCTCGGGAGAGGACTTTGGGATGCCTCGGAGGACGAGGACTTAAGTGCCTCGCGAGGTGGATGGGGCCGACCTCGGGGAAGGAATCTTTGGTGCCTCGGGAGACGAGGGCTTTAGGTGTTTTGCGAGGTGGCTGAGGCCGACCTCGGGAAAATATGGAGTGCCTCGTGAGGTGGATGGGACCGACCTCGGGAGAGGGCTTTTAGTTGCCTCGGGAGACGAGGGCTTAGGTGTTTTGCGAGGTGGTTGAGGCCGACCTCGGGAAAACATGGAATGCCTCGTGAGGTGGATAGGACCGACCTCGGGAGAGGGCTTTTAGTTACCTCGGGAGATGAGGGCTTGAGTGCCTCGTGAGGCGGACGGGGCCGACCTCGGGAGAGGGCTTTTGGGTGCCTCGGGAGACGAGGGCTTAAGCAACTTGCAAGGTGGCTGAGGCCGACCTTGGGAAAAGCTGAGTGCCTCGTGAGGTGGCTAGGGCCGACCTCGGGAGAGGGCTTTTAGTTGCCTTGGGAGACAAGGGTTTGGGTGCCTCGTGAGGTGGACGGGGCCGACCTCGGGAGAGGACTTTTGATTGCCTCGAGAGCCGAGGGCTTGAGTACCCTGCGAGGTGGCTAAGGCCAACTTCGGGAAAAGGTGAAATAATGTGCCATCCTTGAGCTCTGCTAGGCGGGCTCGGTTGCAAATGTCATGAGGTCTTCCGCTTTGCACCTGAAAGACAAAACATGAAAAATTCCTTTGTTGTTGTTGCTTTGTTTGTTTTTTTTAGCGGCGTGTAGCCGATGACGCGTGGTAGCGTAGAAGTGCGATCTCAGCAGATCTAATATTTGTCCTAAGCAGGACTGGCAAGATTTTGTCCTAAGCAGGACCTTGCAATACCCTCCGGAGGGATTTGCTCGCGCAATTACGAGGACCGCGTGAGGCCATATCGTGGCGTGGAAGCCCGATGATGCACAGCTGCATAAAGTCGCGTAGAAGCGAACATGAAATCGCGTGGAAGCGATATTTTTTTTGATTGATTTTTCTTTTTCTTTTTTTTTTTGACGAAATACCCAAGTCGTAGAAGCAAACATGGCGCAAATCTGAGTAGTGGCGCAAATCTGAGTAGGAATCATATAAATAAGGAGTTGTTGCATATTTGAACTAGATCGTGAAGGCTAGCCGCATCCCAGTGAGATCACAAGTGATGGAGATCATCGCAATCAGATATCAGAACATGTACTCTGCCCAATGAAGAGAAGAATGAGACAAAATTCACAAGGCCCCTCAAGTTATTTTGAATCAGAACATACACTCGGCCGAACATAGTACACTCGGCATTAGCAGACTCGGCCGGCTAAGATCATCATTGCCGAACGGGATCTTACAACACTACCGCACGAACCTTGCTTGTCATGATCTTGCACTCGGACTCGGTCACCCTCCCATGCTCGGATTGAGCCCCGCTAGAAATTATGAGCTCGGCCCTCGGAGTGGTCACGCACTCGGCCGTATGAGATTTTGACTCAAGTCTTCTCAGAACCCGGATGAAGAAACCAAATCGATGATGGTGAACGTCGTGCATCTCTCCTCGAGGTTGCCCCAAACAGCGGACCCCAATCAATGGATCCCCTATGGTTATATGTGTCTATCCGTTCAGAACGGAGCTAGTCTATCCGTACCCCACCAATTGAAAAAGTTCATGGAGGGCCCCACCTTTTCCAGTTGTCCAGCATCAATTCTATATTTGATTTTTGCTCGTGTATAAATGAAGTCACGACATGCGTTAATTCCAATAAAGATGTAACAAAAATTTGTGCAGCAAAACAAGTCGAGCATGGGTTCCCCGTCACTAGCCTAAACTTTAAATCTCGTCCATTCTCATCTAGATGAGCATAATAATTGTACCACTTGATTGATTTATCTCACTTACGGGTCATCAATTAATATTGACTCTAGCCCCTTTTTTCCTTAAGGAAACACGGGCGCATTAATGTGCAAACAATAATATTGGAGAACGATAGTTGCTAACCTCCATGTCGATGCATATGATTAGAAGAGAAAAAACCTCAATAGTTCAAACATAAGGGCCCGCCATTGGCTTGCTTGAACATCCCATGTGAATCCGTCCTTTTGCATTTGACAATGGGCAATAATACGGAGTGGTCCACTGCCTCCTTCTTCTTTACAGGCTGGAAAGCAGTACAAATCTCCTCCAGGATCTTCGTCCCTTCCCCCAAGGAGAATCATCACGGGCCGCAGATCTGTCGATGTCATGCAACCCTCATCATACTATTCTTCTCGTTCGTCATCGGCATCCCGTCGTCGACCAAGCAATGCAGCCGGCATCCGTCCTCCCCGGACTGGGAATCTGGTGGCTACTGCTGGAGTTTGTGCCCAGCGTCGGAGGAGAACCCGGGGGATCCTCTTCTCCCGCAATTAACCTGCTGTTATCCCCGTCCGTTGCACCTTCCGTCCTCTGCCATGACCTCTTGATCGAGGAAATTAACAACATATGTAGAAAAGAAAAAAACCATTCCTGGCAGTGTAAGTCAGAAGTTTTTTTTCCTGTCAGTGCACAACGGATTAGCCAAATCCGTTTCTACTCGAAAATTTTTAACGAAACGGAGTAGCGAAATCCGTTTCTGGGGTTTATTTATCAAACGGATTAGCGTAATCCGTTCAGCTTATTTAAAAAAAATTAAACCCCCAAACGGAGTAGCCAAATCCGATTGGAATGAAATTAAAGAGAAACGGATTAGGCTACTCCGTCTCCAATCGGATAACCTACCTTCCCAACATCCGTCCACCCATTCCATCCGCCGAGCGAGAGAGAAGAGCGTCGAGCGAGAGAAGAGGGACAACCGCCGGGAGAGAAGAGGGCGCCGAGCGAGAGAAGAGAGGGACTCCCGCCGGGAGAATCCGACCGCCGGCGACTAGGGCAAATCGGATTAGCCTAATCCGTTTCATGGAGGTATTTTTTTATTTTTTTAGTAATATATATATATATATATATATATATATATATATATATATATATATATTAATGAAAGGATAATTTTTATTAAGAAAACAAGAAAAAAAGAAAAGTACACGAAGGGGGGGACTAGACCAAAGCCCCTCTGAAATTGCATGAAATAAAGAAAAGCTGAAAGGGAAAGAAACTTGAGTGAAAAGTGATCATTCCCAAATTATAAAACCGGGATGCTGATCAAGGGAAAGGTTTCTAGGCATTACTTTCTTTGGTTTCTTCCCATCAGTTCCAATAGGGCCAACAGGGCCGACATACCAAAAGGGCCCGGAGTAACTTTCGGTAGTGATAATTTTTTCCAAAGTTGTTGACTTTCGGCTAGGCCCGTATCTAGTGATCTCACTAACAGCCCCGACTTCAAGGTTTGGGTCGTAGCTTCTAGTTTTGATTGTTCTTGGTGCATTTGGCCTCTTGCCTGCTTTTTTGGTACGTCTATTTTGGACATCTTGAAAGTCATTGGTTTCCTCCCTTGGATGTGATGTCTCCCCTTCTTCAATGTAGGACCTAATTTCATATTGTTGTCCGTCGATCTCAAAGGATTGAAGAACCGGTCCTATTGTTGATGGGTTGGTACCTGCATCGTTAGTCAACGGAGGGGAGTTTTTGTTTTCCATAGGATCAGAAGGAATCTCATCATTTCCTGCAGATGAAAGACTTAGTGTGCCTTCCATCTCTTTCTCATGAGAAAGAGTGTGTGCACCACTAGTAGCTTCCAGCAATTCTTTTGTGAGGACTGGAAATTCATTTAAGTTGGTTTGAGAAGGGTCAGGAATGTACTCTTCCTTATTTTCAGTGTCAACAGTCTGTGTGCCTTCCAATGCTGCCTTGGAAGACAGATTGTGTGCTCCGCGACTGAGTTCATCGTTATAAAGTAAAGGAGAATTGGGTTCCAGTATAAGGGTATCGTCTTGGACGTTGGTATGAGTAACCAATATAACCTCACTATTACCACAAGTTTCTGGACCATTGGCAGTAGGAATTACTTCACAAGAATCAGAATCTATGTTAACATTATGACAAGCTGATGTACAACTCTTAGAAAGAGTTGCTTCAGAATCTTTCTTAACATAATCTGTGTCTTCACAAACAATAGGGTCTGAATCAGACCTTAGGCTAGTTGCTGGGGGTATTTCAAGAGCAGTAGAAATTAGAGGGGGCTCATGAGCTATAGAGTCCCTCACATTAGCTAGGGCCATGTCTTCAACTCTAGGAGGAGCAGCGCCATATGAGTCTGCTGCTTCAGCAGCAGAAGCAGACCCGGTTGCATACTCATCACGTGATTCACCCTGGTTTGTTTGCAAAACAACCTCGTTTGTTGTTGGGGTCACTCCAGGCTTAGGAAACACTACAGCTTGTTGACTGCCAGTTCTAGACCTTCCTTCTGTTTTAACCCATCTAGAGTTCTCATTCTTTTTCTTACAGTTTTTGTGGCCTAAAGATTTGCACGAGGGGCAGTAGTCAGGAAGATCTTCATAGGATATTGGTTGAAGGAAAGTGAGTTCTCCCAGGTGAATCCAAACACAGCGAGGCAGATCCTTGCTGGTATCTATCTCCACACAGATTCGGGCAACAGAGGGCCTCGAAAGAGTTGCTGTTGCTGAATCAGTTTTCAGAGGTTTGCCAAGCAAATTCCCAATTGAATATAAAGCTAGAGAATCAAACAGATGTATAGGCAAGCCTTCAAGGCCTATCCAAACTGGGATTAGTGGGGAGTCGGCATTAGGATCGAAATCATGAGTCCATCGGAAAACTTTCAAATTGAATCCATTTATCTTCCAGTATTTTTGCAACAAACATCTCAGAAAATCCTTTTCAGATTCGAAATTGATCAAAATATGGCAATCATCTAAGAGACTTACAGAGAAATCACTTTCAAAGGCAATCCGCTCAAAAGCTTTTCTCGTTGAGATAAGGCTTGGTCTCCCTTTGATGAATCGCCCGACAACTGTTCGAGAGAATCTAGATGAGAGCGCACTCACATCTGCGTCTGTGAAAGAGATGGCTGGTTGGCCTTTAAATTTTCCCGCAGGTTTAAAGTCTCCTGCTCTGCAATTTCGCTGAATGTTCGTTGTGGAAGGGAGCTAGACATGGTTGGATGATGGTCGCCGGACCGCCATGGCGGTCGGCGATGACCTAGCCGCAGAAATCAGATCTAGAGCGAGAAGACATTTTTTATATTTTATATATATATATATATATATATATATATATATATATATATATATATAGTTTTATAAAATTACATAAATTATATAGAATTACCAAGTTGGGTGAATTTATTTATTGTAATTGATATATATTATTAGTTTGTAAGATTTTGAATTTGATTACTTAAATATTAATAAAAATTTGGTATTTCTTTAATTTTAAGATTGTAAGATACTCCATAAAGATTAACATAATTAGTTACTTCATGAGTTTTTTAATAATTGCCTACTTGTGCATTAAATATTAATAAAAATTTGGTAATTTTTAAATTTTTAGATTCTAAGATACTCCATAATTTTTAACATAATTAGTTACTTCGTGAGTTTTTTTTATAATTGCCTACTTGTGTGCTTGTATTAAATGAATAAATTCTTATGTTGTTATCTTTGAAACAAATGAGTTGTTATTAAATGAAAAAATTGTTATTCTGTAATATTTGAAGCAAATGGATGTTCACCCGGGACCTATTTCACGAGACGTTTTAGTTCTTGAAGGCGGAGTACATAGGTGTGATGCAGTATGGGCGGACGAAGATTATGCCAAAAAGAGTCTAAAGTGTCATAGGACTTGTTCTAGTATATATCCGAGGACTCTTGTTGCTAATAGACCACCTCGTGTCATAGAGATCTTACGAGATTATGGATTTTATGGGGTGGAAAAGGTAGGTGGATTACAATTAGATTGGGCTCTGATTACTTCTTTAGTGGAGAGATGGAGACCCGAGACCCATTCATTCCATCTCCCCTTTGGAGAGGTGGGAATTACGCTACAAGATGTTGAGGTTTTACTAGGATTGCCCGTTGATGGCATTCCATTGTCGGGGGGCACCAGTCGATCAAGAGATCAGTGGATTCAGATTTGTCATGACATGATGAGTTTTAGACCCGAACCATCTCATATTACATCTTCTACGATTAAGATATCTGCAATTCATCCGAAGGCGCTGACAGAGAATAGTGATGAAGTTGATTACCAGAATAACATGGACTATCGACCATGGAGACATCATAACCAGGAATAGCTTTGTCATGAATTTCAATTATGTCTGAGTTTATGTATTATTAAATTTTACAAATAAGTTAGTCATGGATTGTGTTTTTGGCTTCTACTTTTTAAGAATAAATTGTTATATGTACTCTAGCAATAAAATTATTGTGTTTTGTCTTGTTTTTTTTAATATCGTTATATAAATACCACTTAAAGTCAATAAATAGTATTTTGTTTAAACTTTTATTGTAGTCTATTATTTACATCTTCTTTATGTATGTTTCTCGTTTATTTTGTAATTAATTTGATTTCTTATTAGTAATTTAAAAGTAACAGAAGTAAATTGTTTTAATTCAGTTATTAAAAAATTTTAAAATACAATATTTTAATAAAATAAATTTTGAAAAATAAAAAAAAATTTATAAAAGTGGATTTAATTTGTTAAAAAGGTTTATAAAAGAGGAGATAAAATAACTAAAAAAAATTAAAGGGAAAAAAAGGAACAAAGCAACAAATCCGTTTTTAAAGAAAATTACAAAAAATATATATATTGGAACGGATTAGCCTAATCCGTTTGTTAATTAAATAAGTGAAACGGTTAGGCTAATCCGTTTTATTAAATAATATGAACCGATACGGATTAGCCAAATCCGTTTGGTATTTTTTGGAAAAGTGCTTTTTCAATTTACATATAAAGGAACGAGATGCAGGCTATTTACACAAACAGGGAAATGACCCTCAGATCTGGGCTGCGTTTCCAACTGCCCCCACTGTCATCGCTGCCCTGGCAACGGCTCGTCATCTACGCCAACATCCCCAGAGACCCACATCGGCGGTGTACCGATCTGCTGCCCCTACTTTAATGGAGTCTGAAGTCAGGCATTGGACCGAGGAGGAGCTAAATTGGTGCGCTTCCACAGCGCGAGGCTTCGTACGAGCAACTTTTCACCCGGCCGCAGCGGAGGAGCGTACTCAACTCCACATGTGCGAGTGACAGTCAGCTCTATTGATGGTGAAGTAAACTCGTTGTCCCGCTGTTGGAAATAGCATCATCGCAAAGAGTTTAGCAACCGGCTCTGGGGAAGGTCCGAAGGTGACTGAGCCTAAGGCTGTATTCTGGCAACCCACGAAGATGGCGACATCTGCGGTTACCGGCCATGGCTTTCGGTGGCTGAACAGTCACAAATACAGGTGGTAGGAGCCTCAATGTCTACTCCACCCTTAGCAAACATCCGCTGGCATCTGAATCTTTTCCACGTGCTACTGATGAATTACTGTTGCCTGAACGAGTGTCACAGCTGTGCCCAAATTGAACGAGCTTCATTTTAAGGCAATGGAGCTCAGATTGGAGCACTCAAAATCAAAAGGTGAATCTACTATTTGCCTCTTCTAGTGGCACTTTGGTTCGTGTACTCCAAAATCTGGGCCACCACCACGCCACCGCTCGCCGGAATAGCAGATTTCAACGGCTGGAAAACTGACCTGGTCCGGATCGGATTGCAGCATCTCCATAGCAGGATAATTGTTGTTGTTTGTCACTGGTTTGGACATCGGAGAGCGATGTATGGCTGCAGCTTCTGGTCACCAGAGAGGATGGCGTCGTTAGACGCTGTTCATCCCTGGACATGGATTGTCGCCGCTGCTGGAAATAAGATACACCAAGTTGGATGTCTTCGCTCGTCTGATGCTACTCGCCGGGAATCGATGTCGGCTATTGCCGTGATGCGGCGACGGCTCTGGTGTCCGCCCCTTCCTCGCAGATCTAAAATCGTGCAGATTGAGCGATTGGTTGGGCGAAGCGTTCCTCTGGTAATCCGGAGCTGAGAGCGGCGCGGTATTCCGGCATCAATTACCTCGCCGGGCGAACTGGCCAGAGGGTGACCTTGCCGAGATTGGGTTTCAACCTCCATTGTGGATTTTATTTTAAGAAATCCCAATTTGTGTAGCCTCACAGTGGAAATGTGAGGACTCGATTCCCCCCAAGAGAGATGAATCTCCTGACTGGAAAATAACAGAACCGAAGCAATTGGTTCAAAAAACAAAATTGAGAGCACGCTTGATGTGTTCGACACTCTCAACGAGAGCACCAATGTTGGATTAAGGAATCCAAGGGTAGGGAAGAAGGAGAAGAGTGTGAAGAAGAAGATGAATAGTGTTGTGTATTGAGCCTCCCCTTTTTTTCCTTTTTCCCCTCTTCCAAGAAGAGGGTATAAATAAGGGGAATCAGGGCTAGGGTTTCGGTCTAATGGGCCGGCCCAACAGACTGGGCCGCCCTAAAAATAAATAATCAACATATAACTAACGGGTCGGTCCAACAGACTGGACCGACCCAACTAATATTATACAAAGACCGGATACCCCTGTCCAGGGTATCCATCACCTAATGTAATCCCTAAGAATTTTTCATGATAATTATCCAAAACTTTTTAAATAAGAATATTTGAGTAGTACTCTTTAATATTTCTTTGTCATCATAATATTTTCATGTTATGATAAATTTAACATTAAAAATAAAACTAATTTTATTGAACATTTCGGGGTAAAAATAAAACATTGGAATGTGTTCTATATTTTGAGATGAATTTAATAAATTTAGATTACAAAAATCATAGCCTTTTAAATTGAATAATATTTAAAAGTCTAAATTTTAGGATAAATGATAACAAAGAATTCAATAAAAACTCAATTCCAATACTCTATATCCTATCACATGGTACCAAAAAATAAGCATGAGTCCATCATAGGAAATTGCAATGCAAGATCCCCACATGCAATTGGGAGAATAAGTTGCCTCCTCGAGTTGGAACGTGAATTGATGAGAGACAAAAACATGATAACAGTTTCTTGGGTGAGATTGAAGGATAAGAAAATGCCTGTCAAACAACTTTTCTTTAGCCTACATAAGTGATACAATTCCTTGGTACATTCTCTTAGTTGGGAATTTCAATGTTTAATCCCATACAAATTTAGTAAATACTAAATATATACATCAAAATTAAATGATCATATAACTTTTTTGTTAGTCGGTTTATTCGTTGTGCCCACGCCTTAGAGGGGGTGAATAAGGCGTTTAAAAAAAATTTCGGAGTTTAACAAAAATGGTGTTGGCAAATGCAGAAGCAATATATAAAACGCAAAAGTAAAAGCGTAAAGTAAATGCACACCGATTTTATACTGGTTCGGAAACTCCCTACTCCAGTACCTTAAGGCTCCTCCTAAAGAATTTTCAATCCAGTAGAACGCCTTGACCGTCTCAATACGATCGTCACGAGGGAACCAGTCTTTGGCAAACAAACCTTTGAAATTGATTTACACTAGATCGACAATACTTCACGACTTGAAGTATCCAACTAGTTTGAGGATTTTCCAACGGCTATCCCCAACCGTGCACTGAAGATTTGCAGGATGTCTTCAACCTAGAGATTTGCAACGGCTATCTCCAACCGTCTCAACAAGGATTTCACGGATGTCCTTGACCGCTTCTGGAGATTTCACCACGGCTATCTCCAACCGTCTCAATGAAGATTTTACAACGGATATATTCAACGTATTACAAGGATATGAGAATTTGAATGAATCAACACCACCTCAAGAATATGAAATACAAGCAGGTTGGGTTGGTGTGATGATTTCTATAAAATCTAAGAATTACAACTCTCTTATAGATAATATGAGTGTATATCTCTTTTGAATCAAGCTCAATGTGTGTTCAAGAAAATATATTGAAGAAATGACTCTTTAATAGCTTAATAAAAATCAGAGATTTTTATGAACACAACAAGAAAGAATTAAGAGATTTGAGCAAGGCTTGATTGATTAAAAACATTGAAATGGTTTGGGTATTTATAGGGATGAATTAGGAGTTGTTTGAAATTGAAAAATAGTTGTTAGAGAAGAATAATTAACTCCTAATACCATAATTAAAATAATCCAACCGTTGGGTGTGAAATAGACAAGAAATAAAGAATCTGGTCTCCGAACGGTCCATCACATCGACCGTTTCAGTCCAAACAGTCGACCATTCAGGGTAACGTTCAGATTCCTCCAACGGTCAGTAGGACGATCGACCGTTAGGGGGTAACGGTTCACCACATCGACCGCTTGTTACTGTTGCGCAATTTTAAAATAAATTTGGTAAAATGTTAATAACTTTTTCAATACTAATCAGAATTGAGTAGTTCAAGAACCGGCGATCTCGTATTGAGAAGAGTTATAACTTTAGTTAAATATTTTGAAAAAATGTATTTTTAGAAAATATTTACCAAATGTATTTTAAAATTAATACCCAAGTAAAAATCTTTTTTGTATGTGTACAAATTTTAGCTTGAGCTTAGAGATATATCATTCAAATATCTTTAACAATAAATGACTCTAAGCTATTTTATGCTAGTCCTGTGTCAGCGAACGTATTAACGCAATCACCGCATTTTAGTAGATTTTGTCGTTCCTACACAATTGAACAAACGTTAGCTCAATTAAATTATTTGTTAACATCAAAACATGAGATTAAACATACCAAGGCTAACAATCTCCCCCTTTTTGATGTTGACAAATAATTTTCTTCAAAGTGAGATTTAGGTAGGAGTAAAGGATTCATGCAAGCTCCCCCTAAAACATAGCATTTTTGAAAAGTTCTCACTTTGTATTTTCCATGTGTTTATGAACAATTGATAAAAAAATTTGCACTTTGAAGTACACATATTTCTCCCCCTATTTGTCAAGAGCAAAAAGGATTGATTGAAGTTTTTGATAAAAAAGTGTAAAGTTTCTTCAAAAGCCCTCCCCCTATCAAATAGATTCAAGTAAAAATAGAATGATGAATCTCATAAGATTAGTGGGAGAAGTGCAAACAAGATCAACCAATTTTGAGAATATAGACAAAATCTTTCAAGAAAATTTATTTTTCTTCTAATTTTGATAACATTTTTACTCCCCCTTGGTAAAAGAATTCTATCAAAGTAGAGGTAAAACAAAATAAATCAAGCATATAAGGTATGTTATCAATAACATGTCTTTTTCAAGACTTGTGCCATATTTATTTTAGTTTTCCTTTTAGCATACCAAGGCTAAGAATTTCCTTTGATTTATGAGTTCATGATTCTTGGATTTCATGCACTCCAGCAGAACCTGTTTATGACTTTGATACCAAATCTAAAAATATTCAAGAGAGTCAATAAAGACAATTTCACATTAAGCACAATGTCATCAAAAAGTACCAAAGTTTTAAATATCCAAACATTAACATATTGTGCAAAAATACGAGTAAATGAAATTCAATAATAGTAATAATCATCATCATTTGCCATGTTGTCAATGTCTTCATCATCATCATAACCATCAACGTTCACATGTGAGGAGGAGGGATTTCCATATTCAAACGTGGATGAGGGATTCATAGGAGGAAATTAGCTAATGCTATGACGATGTTCGGAAAGGCTTTCCCGAATTCCTTTTTGCAAATTCTCCTCGTTGATTGTTTCGGGGTCTTCCTCAACAACTTCCTCAATTATTGGTCCTTTGGATTTCTTCTTAGCTCTTCTCTTTTCCTCCGAAGAAGAAGATGAGGACGACGGGGATTTAGGCCTACCAATCCATTTTCTCATTTTGTCAAAGATTTTCTTTGTCACGGACTTGGTTACCTTCTTTGTGATGTTTTCCTCCATTTGGGCTATCTTCTCATCCATATACTTCTTCAATGAAGGATCGATTTTTGCATGTGTAGAACGGGAGCAAGGCATGGAAGAAGCACGTGGAGGAACCTCAACGCTCGGACGGGGGTTTGAAGAGGAAGAACTTGCAAATTTACTTAGGTTGTGCTCACGTCTCCATCGGTTTCTGTCTTCTACCAAGATTCGGTTGTAGGAAGCTTCGGTGTGAAATCCGTCAAAGTGTTGAAAGATCTTGGACCGTCGAAGACTTGTGGCATCCATCTTCTTGTACTCAAAGTTCCTTCCTTGGTATTTTTCAAGCTTGATTTTGGCCCTTCGGAACACTTTGGTCAACGCCATTCCATAAGGAAGTTGTCCATAACCCTTGTGAATCCACATATGGTTCATCATCATCATAGGGAATCTAACAAGGGGTTCCTCTTCTAAGAGATAGACAATGGCACACTCGAGCATACCCACAATGGAGTCGTTGCTTCCAGTAGGCAAAAGACATTCTTTTAAGATTTTCAAAAGAATTTGTTGATTAACATTCAAAAATTCTCTTTTAGGCCTAACAATTCCGGAATGTTCAACTCCATTGTGTAGCCTATCAATACAACTAGCTAGAGTATCACCTTTGATGCCCCAACCAATCAACCATGCCTATCATACGTCTCAAATCCATCACTGTTATCAACAATATCAAAACATTTACAAATTTCCTCAATTCCAAGATTTATAGTTTTCTTCTTAACCCTAGATTTGAGAAAAGGAGTTTCTTCTTCTTCTTCATTGACCTTAGTTTCCCAAGAGAGATTATCATAGAATTCATACACAAGCTCATCATACACCAATTCATCTATTGCAACAAATCCTAGCAACCCTTGAAGCGTAAGAACCGAGATAATGAATTGGGGGAAATCCAGTAGGTTTAGAATTTTATCCGGAGCAATTGTGCGCTTGTTGGTGTCCTTCTTGGGAGCCAGAGTTCTTGAAGATTGGATTCCTTGATTTCTTGAAAGATTGAGAGAGAGAGTCGAAATTGAGGAGTTGCAGGCGTTGGACGAAGGAGATGAAATGAGTCGTGGTTGAGGAGATAAAAAATAGGGTTTTGACCGTTTAAATAGGCGTCGACGGTCGATCCTCTGAACCGTTTCTTTTCCACGGTGGACCGTTCTTATTGCAGTGTTCTGGATCCGTACGTAACAGAGGACATGATGGACCGTTCTCATAGCACGGGCAACCGTGATTATGACAGATTTGGGATAAACCGACTAACATTTTTTTTATTTTTAATGATCGAAATTCAAGTCCATGCTCATCTCACATCATAAAATATTTCATTCATCCTAATATGAGTTCGTGCTTAATATTCACAGGATGAACTTTAACAACTTTCAATACTCATTTCTGAAGCTCAGTTGATAAAATAATATAATCATGTTACCTTTTATTTTATAGAACTTTAGATGTAAATTTTTAACATGTATAAATTCAATTTTTAAATCCATACCAAATTTTATATAAAATAAATTAAAAATAATTTCAATCAAATATCATAAACCAAAAAACGTAATTTAAATTGGAACAAAGGGTGCAATAAAAATTACAATTACTTTTGATGTTTAAAATGGAAATAGTTTGTGATTGATCATCATTTTTATATGGGGATGGAATTGAGCCAAATCTCATTTGTTATTATCTTTAGTACATGTCTTCAGGCATAGTTTGCATTTTCAGATCCTTGCCGTACATGGACAATCTGCAGGGTAGAACGAAAAAAAATTTGCCTAAAACAAAAAATCATACTAAAGATGTATAATAAATAGTCTTTGCATAGTATGATAGAGTATGGTGTTAGTTTAGCAATATTAAATACATATTGTGAACAGAGCATCAGCTAGGTAATTCTCGTTTCAAAATATAGTAATGCTAGAGTTACAAATAACTTGGACACAAATTACACAAATATGCTATTTGTTCACTTTTCCATATAAATAAAATGAGTTTAAATAATTTAAAAATAAGAGTTAAAATACATAAATAACAAGTTTGTGTAGTTTGTGTCCAAATTATTTGTGACTCTAGCATTATTCTTCAGAACAATTCTCCTTTCTTTACTTCTAAAGAAATAATTCTCCTTTCTTTACTTTTATAATAAAATTAGTATTATATTATTATGTGTTCCATAAGCTTTAATTTCTTTCCAACAATAGAATTAAATTACAATTGCTTTTTTTGTTATTAATTTTATTAAAACACTTTGAAGTCAAAGTGAAACTACCTTTTCTGGTTTGAGAGAGTAATATTGACTAATTAAATTAAAGTATAAAAATATATAATTAAATTTAAACATAGTATTGAGCTAGATTTGGCAAAAGCTGAATTGGCTCTAGATAGTATCCCTGGTGTTTTGGTTTAGTAAGAATATCACATTATTTTGATTTCAGAATAGTTTTGCTTTGGAAAAACAGTAATTACTACAAAGAAGAACTTCTATAATAATATTAAAATGGAAAATAATAACAGTTCTAAAGTGAATGAAATGTAAAAACTTTTACAGGTAATAAACTCACCTTATTCTAGACCTAGTGCCAAAAATCAGGACGGACTGATACTTCTTGGACAGAATCAGATCAATCTCCAAAACCTTTCCCCATAGCCAAACTCATCTCCCCCACATCTCCTTTCTGGAATTTACAAAGAAGCTCCGCAGTCGATCCAGGGACCCTCTTCCCCTAAAACTCAAACACGCCCTTGGCGGCGGAGAGAGACGGCGAGGAGGCAATAGTTAGGAACGAAGGAATACTGAACAGGAAAAAAATTCAAACAATAGTAAGTTATCATACAGGGGACAATCCAAGAACCAACATGTTGGGAAGCAAGCAAAACAGGAATCAGCAAATAGTCCCGTGCAAAGGAAGAGAAGCCATTCAAATCATCACATCATATGTGATTTCATAATTTGAAATCATATATGAATTTGGAGTTCATTTAACTATCTTATGGTAAACTTTAGGCGCGCGCACACACACACACACACACATATATATATATATATAAAATTATATATATACTACGTATATTGTAACTACATCATGCAACCAATTCTGTCAATAAGGTATCAAACAAATCACAAAAATATAAAGAGCATATACGATTCGATTGACCTAATAACATGTCCTTACATCTTCTTCATCATGTGGATTGGGCATTGAGTTGTGTGGTCAGAGATTGATTAACCAATTTGTTCCAGATGCAGGTTTTCTTCATCGAGGCAAAGAAATACGGAGTAGTTAAAAACTACCACAAGGTAGTAGTGTTCTGTGACTTTTCTTCATATAGAAGATGTGCAAGATCTATGTACGGAGTATATAATAATTAATTAATATGTTAATGTTCTAAATCAAATGTTTCATAATAGATATTTAGCACTTCCCTCTGGTCTTAGTCCCACATGTTCGGATACCCAATTCTCATTGAAAAAACATGTGCTTTCGTCAGATCTGCTCAATTCAGAACTGAAATTAGATATTGAAAGATCTACAACTTGGTAAATAAAATAATAAAAAAACTTAAATATAGCAAGATCTCTTTATTCAACTTGAGAAAAAAGAGAATTTAGAATTTGACCCAAGAGAACCTGAAAGAGGAGATGGCCACCCAAGCGATCGAAACCCTAGGCTCTTACTGAGAAGAAGAGCAAGAAGATGCGATGATTTGCATGACTTCTCTTCATTTTTCCTTTTCTCGTTTTCGGATCGGAAGTTGCAGACGTGAGTTTCGGATCGGAAGTTGTCATCCGAAAAAAATGGATATTGTGATTTATTATATGGACGGCCAGATTTTGACAGTTGTAGTGACATTAGATTGTCGGATCATTCAATCCTGGCTCAAAAATTGGGCCGTTGATTTTTCTAAATCTCATTAAAATTGGACCATTGATTTCCGATTTTGGCGGGTAAATTGGATAGGAGATTTTGATTCGATTTTTATATACTACTCCCTCCGTCCGTGTATAATCTTCTCATTACGCATTATGAGGCTTGACTGACTTTATTTTCAATTCAATTTAATTGATTTTAGGAGTAAAACTTTAAAATAAAATTTATATGGTAATAAACTACATGAAAAGTTCTACAAAACTAGAGGTGATAAGACTATATTATTTTTTGAAATGACTAGTAAAATTGTGCAAACAAAGTGAGTAAAGTGTGACCCTGTGAATAGTGTCTGAGAAGATCTATGGTGGACAGAGGGAGTACTTCCTTCCCACTGTCTTTGTCCACTTTTAAGTTTTAACTTTTGGAACTATTCATCTAAGAACTTTGACTCATCAAATTCTCTCAATGTGTAAGTCTATATATAGTCATGTGTGATCTTGTTTGATTTGTCTTAACATATAGATTATTAATATATAATTTCTATAATTTTTTAATATACAAATTACAAGATAAAATGGATCAAAGAAGTGCATTGGATGGTGTGCCAAAAGGTAAGTGGACAAAGAGAGTGGGACGGAGAGAGTATATAATAGATTTATAATTTTGATAGGAAACTGTATTTTGAATTTTTAAGGAAAAGTTTGAATTTTTTTTATTCTGCCATCTTTGTGTATGAAACACTATACATCATTACTCCAACATTAAAATATGTTTATAACAATTACAGTATTATAATCGATAATCAGTTGAAGATTAAAGATGCTTTGAAGGTATGTTTGCACCTCTTTTGGGACATTGCAGGATTAGTTGAAGAAGCCGGTTCCGACGAGGATCCCCTTGGGAAGCTATCCTCCGTCATTTATGGCAGTCGATATTCTAAAGGACCATGCTACACTTATACCAAAAAATATACCCCATTTGTACACCACAGGTTTGCACAAACATTTCGATGGTTTACACCGACACAAGTGTTGGTGCGTTAATAAAAATTCACACGGACACAAATGTTGGTGCGTTTAACAAAAATTAGTTTTACACCAACACAAAGTGTTGGTGCAAAACTGCGGGGTACAAATTGGGGTACTAACCTTGGGGTACACATAGCATAATCCTATTCTAAAATGTTGGGGCACTAATATCGATGCTCTGGGGCACTAATATAAACATATTCTAGGTTCACAAACAGAATACTCACAAACTTCATAAACTTACTATTTATGGTTTAAAATTTTGTTTTAAAATCATTTTAGACCATTTAATATTTTCCATTAAAGTTCACAAATAGTAAGTTTGTGAAGTTTGTGACCATTGTGTTTGTGAACCAAACATTCTCCATGTAGTAATAACTAGTACATTCGCTTATTAGTTTTTGTTCTTTTTTTTTCGGTTAATTATGTAATACGAGTAGCTATTTCATACTCCGTATTTCTATTCATGTTTTGAACAAAAAAAACTTATTTTCCGTCGTTCTTTTTTTTGCAGTGTTCAAATTTTATTTACTCCATATGTCAAAAAAAACTTCTCATTTCTTTTTCGAACGTCTCAAAAAAGACACATTTTTCCAGGTTTGAAAAACCTACTATGGCTCACAATCTTTCTCTTTCATCTACATACTCCCTCCGTCCCTAAATAAACTTCCGTTTTTGACTTTTTGAGGATTTAAGGGAGGGATATTTTGGTGTTGACTTTCCAAAAAAACCCTTGATGTGATGTGTAAAAGTAAGATGTGATATGTAGATTATTAGTAAAAAGGTATGATGTGATAGGTAGGGTATGAAAAAGTAAGGGGTAAATGGGGTTTTTAAGAGAAAAAAGAAGTTTATTTGGGGACAAAGAAAAAACGAAAGAGCAAGTTTATTTAGGGACGAAGGGAATATATCTTAACCACATAATTTTATTTTTTAAAAAATTTTGTGTCAAACCAAATGTAGAACCTTATTTTTGAAGCGGAGAGAGGATATAGTACCATAGTACTCCCTCCAACCCAAATTTATTGAGAAAGTAAAAAGGTATGCCAGTTACTTTGCGACGAATCAAAAAAGAAAGTGAGACGATTGATTTGAGACAAATGTAGTATTAGTTACTCCCCATGGCCTAAAGTTATTGTCATAGTTACTATTCTGAATTCTTGATATTTTTGTTTGAATATACATTTTTGTTGACCATGTAAAAAATTAAAATATTAATGTTAAATTTTGCTTTATAAAACTTTTGATGTAATTTTAAAATAGATAATTTGTATTTTTTATTTATGTACCATTTTATAAATAAAACAATTTAAGAAAAGATTAGATTTTGGACGTTATCGGAATGTGATGATAATTCTTTGACGAATCGAGTAAATAAAAATGGAGCACTTTTATAAATAATCATAGTCCAGTTATAAAAAATCACTAAAAATAAGAGTAAAATATAATTTTTTTAATGTTACTGACTCTATCATAATATTATTAAAAAACATAGTTGTTATCTTTAATATAGGAGTGTCATAATTTCATTTATAAATTAAACTTTAAATTTGTGCTAGGAGAATGTGACATTGTATATTATCATTCCAAAATATTTTTTAATATTATATATTTTAACCATGCTAGGTGTACCCCAATTATAGTACTCCAAAAGTTTACACTTATATTTTGATGGTTTACATTGACACAAAATGTCAGTATGATCGCAAATTTTGCACTAACATTTTGTGTCAATAAGACATCAATCTTGCATTTACATTGACACAAAATATAAACGTAAATCTTTGGAGTATATTTTGAGTAAAATCTTTGGAGTACAAGTAGATTTATTATATTCTATATATTTATATGTTAAAGGTTATATTTAGGTTTTTTCTTACTGAGCAAATTTTACTGCGATTTGGTTTAAAACCGGATATTTTTTTCCATCTAGGCCTTTAGAAAAAAAGAAAAGGAATGAGTCCCATCCCCGAGGGCCGCCTGAGACCCAGTCGGACAGGAGAAAGTAAATTGGATTTTAATCGCATATTGGTGACAGGAAGTAAAGCTTGCACATGGTTCTTATAAAGACCCTATGTTTAACATAATTGTCTTTCAGAGTAGTTGTCAGGAATCGAGCCGGATCTACCCCTTGAAACTCTATCTTTTACAACCTGCGTAACTTTGTCTTTGCCAACTGCGCAACGTCCACCGTTCCGTATGGGCCTTTAGCAATGTCAGGTTAAGTGACATTTTGATTTTATGCATAGATTCTATACCCGTGCTATGCACGAAAAAAATTATCATAAGATATATTTAAATGTTATGAAAAATGAACATATATAAAATTAATTACTTTGTCAATATAGTATAAAGATAAAATGTTAGACTCGCGAACTCCTATGAAAATCCTAACTACTTTAGTATATAAAAAATCATTGTGAATATTTATTTTTTAATATACTCGTGCAGAAGATAGATATTTTAACTTTAAATAAAATTAATTATTCCTAAAAGAACCTAACAAAGTAGGTATTTATGTAATCATATACTTCCTCCCTACATTAGCATTTTCTTTACTATTTTAGTATTTCGATCACTTTTGTTTGCGTATACTTTTACACGGTATAATTAACTATGTCCATGCCTCAAAATGGATGTATATTTAGCCCTTTTTCCCTACCATCATGATTTAATGTGGCGACCGATTAATTCCAGTTGTAAAAAGCAAAGCCTAGCCACACACCAACATTACTATGCACATGGTTATATATCAATACACTACCTATTTATTTATTTTGATTTGACATAAAATTTGCATTGTGTCATGCACCAACTATACAATGCACGCGGTTCCTATATCAATACACTACCCATCAATTAGGCCTAATTTGGCGGGCCCAATCCCAATTGGATAATCCATTAATTTAGGCGGGAATACTATTCAAAATATCATCCTAGCTTTGTATATAGTTAGATTTTTAGAGATGGTGATTGTTGATTTATAAAGTAATATGCTTTTAGAATATCGATGCAAAGCCGTCATTACACAATCTCCAATGAAGGATAATTAATAACACAAAACTGCATAAACTTACCTTCCCGAATTGGCAGACCCATTTAAATATTTCCAAAAAAATCATTTGCAAACAGTTTCTTGTTGAATGCACAACTTTAATTTGAACGGCTTAAAAATAACTTGAATTATCATGATTTAAACAAAGTTTACATACCTCATTGTCATTAAAGACAATCTTTATTGATTCAATATTTCTTCCAAAAGGCTGAACGTGATAGACACGAATAGCTCGTACGTGAATAACAATATTGTTGTGGTCCTCTTCGAGCTCACCAAGATTGGTAAAGAGACCACAGGTAATACACGTTCGGGAGCCACATTGGAAAGATGAAATTTTTAAAAGCTCTAATGGTGGGGAAATGAATTGAAGGTATTGGGCAAGGGTTGTTTATAAACATTAAATTGGACATGCATTGTGGGGAGAAAGCAATAATGATTTTACATTGAGGTGTGTGAGAAATAAAGTATATTGGTTGAAGTAAAAACACATGCCCCCAACACATGTCGTCAAAACACATGTCCTTACACATGTTTTAAATGCCTCCACGGGTACCAAAGATCCATTAGCCCAACCCAAAATCCTTTTGCCCAATCGAATTAACTTCTTCTTTACCCTATCCAATATCCAAACTTAATGCCACAAATTGTGCCCGAGAACTTAAGGCGGGAAGATGACAATGTTCATGTTTTTTCACTTTAGCTTTGTATATTAGAAAATAGAGTAAATTCCATAATTGGTCCTTTATAACAGGGGGGTTTCCATATTTAGTCTTCTATTATCAAATATTACCCTCGTAGTCCTTTTTTTAAGAGTGCATTTTCACAAATGGTCCTTTTTTGATCTTCTGCCATGTTGGTATTAATTTAAAAGCTAAAAGTATAATTTGACATCAACATTATGTCTAGTGACGTGTTCTGATATTGGTTAAGCGGATAACACAAAAATAATGACGATGATTGTGGGCTAGTATTACGACGAAAGACCACATTTGTAGACTATGATTATAGTAGAAAGCGACTGTAATTCAAAAACAATGGAAACAGAATAGCCTTTTGAATTGTGAATGACAAAAAAGATATATTATCATTGCGAAATTACACTTTTAGCCTTTAAATTAATACAACATGATAGAAGATAAAAAGGGACTATTTGTGGAAAGATACCCATAAAAAAAGGACCAATATGTTAATATTTTATAATATAGGACTAAATAGGAAAACTCTGTTATAAAGGACTAATTATGGAATTTACTCTAAAAAATATTAAAAGATGTATTCAAAAACCATTTCCCATCCGTTGCACAATGAAGTGAACCAGCGGACTTTCAAAAATACTCACGCTCCCCCTTGTGGTTATTCCGCAGTTCCTCCCTTTAGAACTCGAGTTCAGACTTGACGTTCCAAGGCGGAGCAACGACGCACAGCCGCCGCACACGGCCACCAGAATCTCGCTTCTCGGATTCTCCTATTCGATAGCCGGCAGAGCGTAGGGAGCGATAGGTAAGAGGAGCAAACGGCATCCAACATTGGAATGATGGACTCCGCTTACTTCATCCGCTTTCCTGGATCAACTCCACTCTCCATCTCAGTATCTCGAAAGTCGAAGAAGTATATAGCCTTCGTTTATTTTTTTTCCTTGCAGACAAATTCAGATTCGAGATTTGAGGGGAACTTCCATCGCTTTTGCAGGCATGTACAGGCGCGGTCCAGTGCCAATTGATGGGTGCTGTTCATCCTGGGATGGTCCCGATGCACAAGGTCAATTTTGATGCCAAGAATGAGTACGGAATGATCCAGAACTACAAGGTCCTTCAAGATGTCTTCAACAAGCTCAAAATTACTAAGGTTTCTCCTCTCCTTCCCTTTGAATTGCTTTTCCCCTTGTTTTTTAATGGTCAATTGATTTCTTGGTGTTTACAAAATTTCCTGATGTTGAATGAGTGAAAAATGGATTATAAGGAAATTAATATTGCTTTCGTACATAGTTTTTGTTGGGATTCCTCCAAGTCCCACACCGGAAGTGTATGAGTAAATGAACGAAAATAAAAAGGTTCACCCAACCCCATTAGTATGAGGCCTTTTGGGAGGTGCCCAAAAACAAATCCGTGAGGGCTTGACCCAGAGCGGACAATATCATACTAATGCGGGGTTGGGGTGAGGGCACACGCAGTCCCAACATGTGGTATCAGAGCCCAGGTTCTTGCGGGCGTGAGCAGCGGACTGTTTAGTGTAGAAAATCTCGGTGTGACGGTGCAACAATAGGACCAAGACCAAGAAAGAGGATCCGCAGGTGGTGCCTTGTGTCGAAAGTCTTCCCGACGAGAGGAGGCCGGGCGGCGTGTCCCGTGAAGTTATAGCCACGGCGGTACAAGATGATTTGGCGGATCACAATGGTGTAGCCCAGCGAAGGAAAGATCTGCGGTTCGAGCCTTGTGTCGAAAGTCTTCCCGACAGGAGGTTGGGCGGCGTGTCCCGCAAAGAGTGTGCGGCGGTGCAAGATGGTTAGCAGATAAAAATGGAAAAAATGGATTGCCGCTGGAGGGGAGGTCGGAAGTTGTGTGGTCCTTGGTTGAGGGGAGGTTTGTTGGGATTCCTCCAAGTCCCACACCGGAAGTGTATGAGTAAATGAACGAAAATAAAAAGGTTCACCCAACCCCATTAGTATGAGGCCTTTTGGGAGGTGCCCAAAAACAAATCCGTGAGGGCTTGACCCAGAGCGGACAATATCATACTAATGCGGGGTTGGGGTGAGGGCACGCGCAGTCCCAACAGTTTTTATCGTTCATGATTGTGTATTTAATCGTGTGTTGTCATCAGCATATTGAGGTGAGCAAACTGGTGAAAGGAAGGCCTCTGGATAACCTGGAGTTTATGCAGTGGATGAAGCGCTACTGTGATTCTGTAGGAGGAGGAGGAGCTGCACTCAAGTAAATTCATGAATTTGATTTTTGTGTTTTTGTTCTCTCTATCTGCTTCCCTTAATTAGCTTGACTCTAAAATCCTGACAGGGATATGCATAACATGTAATCCGTGCTTTATGCTAGTGGGTTTGTTTGGTTTGGATGTTCTAGAATTAATTTTATCATAATTTTCTTGGATTGTTGTTGGTGGTGGTGATTATTTGATCCGTTTAATGTGTACTTTGATGACTCTTAGGTAAAGTATTTACTCCTGTATGCTATAGAGTTGCGATGGAAGTGTGTTGATTCCTGATTGAACTAAATATGCTGAAGTAGTTGACATTCATGACTATCTAGTGGGTTTGTTTTGTCTGGATCGGATATTCTAGAATTGTTTATTAACACAACTTTCTTGGATCCTTGATGGTAATGGTGTTTGGTATAATGTGTACCTTGATGATTCTTAGGTAAAGCTTTTGCTCCTGTATGCTATAGAGTTGCAACAGAAGTTTTTTGATTCCTGGTTGAACTATAATACTATATATGCTGAACTAGTTGACACTCATGACTATCTAGTGGGTTTGTTTGATCTGGATATTCTAAGTGGGTTTAATTGATCTGGATATTCTTGAATTGTTTTTTTTACAACAATCTTCTTGGATAATTGATGGTGATGGGATTATTTGATTGGTTTAATGTGTACCTTGATGACTCTTAGCTAAAGCTTTTGCTCCTAGACGCTATAGAGTTGCAATGGAAGTTTTTTAAATTCCTGATTGAACCAAATATGCTGAAGTAGTTGGCATTCATGACTATCTACACCAATTTGTGCTTTCAAAGTTAGGTTGTGATCATCAAACTTCAATTTGTTTTTTCAAACTTCAATGTGTAGTTACAACGCTCTAGAGAGAAGAGAGGCCAGCAAGGGTGGAAAGGAAGTGAACAAGAAATCTGCAGCAGCATCACAACAAGTTTCGGCCAAGCCTTCCTCAGCTTCAACCAAGCATCATGTCCCACCCAATGGCCGTAGGAATGACGCTACCAATACAAGCACCACAAATCTTTCTTGAAAGACCTCTAGGCCATCTTCAAGTGGAGGCCGCTCCGTCTACTCTGAAACATAAAAGGCTGCACATGAACAACAGGTTTCTAATAAAGCTTATACCTCCAACAGTTCTCCATAAGAGCATTGAAGTACGAATACTCAACCTTTTTTTTCTTTGTGAAATGCAGATTACAGAGTTGAAGTTGTCTGTGGATAGTCTGGAGAGGGAGAGGGACTTCTACTTTGCTAAGCTGAGGGATATTGAAATTGTGTGCCAATGCCCCGAGATCGAAAACCTACCTGTAAAGTTCTCTCTCAATATCTGCACTACCGTTCATAGAGAAACTATTACATGGACTGATCGAATATGGAATTGCCCTGGTTTCATTTGTGTGTCTGCAGGTGGTTGAAGCATTGAAAAAGATTCTGTATGCTACAAATGACGATGCAACACTCGTTGCAGAGGCTCAAGCCATCATCTCCAAGCAACACCAACAAGTGGACGAACACGAAGATGAGACGGACAACAACAAAGTGAGAGTTAAAAACCAGAAGAGAAAAATAATCATCAATGCTGATGTTGATGTTGCTGCTAGTGTCACATTGTCTCCAAGGCAAAAGATCACTGATGCTTCAGATGTCCATTGCAGCGGATCGCCACTCGTGACTTACTGATGTCTTCTATTACTTCAAGAATGATGTTTTTTTGTCCTGCCTCAATTGCCCGAGAGGTATATACTTCCTACAATGTTGCTCCATGTGGGTGAAT